AGAGGAGCAACATAGATTTATTCAAATGAATGCAAGTATCATGAATCAGTCTGATGAACCATGAAAGAGGCTTCTCATCAATAGAGCTCATTGTAGAATTAGAGTGGAATAAGCAGAGGAGCAACATAGATTTATTCAAATGAATGCAAGTATCATGAATCAGTCTGATGAACCATGAAAGAGGCTTCTCATCAATAGAGCTCATTGTAGAATTAAAGTGGAATAAGCAGAGGAGCAACATAGATTTATTCAAATGAATGCAATTATCATGAATCAGTCTGATGAACCATGAAAGAGGCTTCTCATCAATAGAGCTCATTGTAGAATTAGAGTGGAATAAGCAGAGGAGCAACATAGATTTATTCAAATGAATGCAAGTATCATGAATCAGTCTGTTGAACCATGAAAGAGGCTTCTCATCAATAGAGCTCATTGCAGAATGAGAGTGGAATATGCAGAGGAGCAACATAGATTTATTCAAATGAATGCAAGTATCATGAATCAGTCTGATGAACCAAGAAAAAGGCTTCTCATCAATAGAGCTCATTGTAGAATTAGAGTGGAATAAGCAGAGGAGCAACATAGATTTATTCAAATGAATGCAAGTATCATGAATCAGTCTGATGAACCATGAAAGAGGATTCTCATCAATAGAGCTCATTGTAGAATTAGAGTGGAATAAGCAGAGGAGCAACATAGATTTATTCAAATGAATGCAAGTATCATGAATCAGTCTGATGAACCATGAAGAGGCTTCTCATCAATAGAGCTCATTGTAGAATTAAAGTGGAATAAGCAGAGGAGCAACATAGATTTATTCAAATGAATGCAAGTATCATGAATCAGTCTGATGAACCATGAAAGAGGCTTCTCATCAATAGAGCTCATTGTAGAATTAGAGTGGAATAAGCAGAGGAGCAACATAGATTTATTCAAATGAATGCAAGTATCATGAATCAGTCTGATGAACCATGAAAGAGGCTTCTCATCAATAGAGCTCATTGTAGAATTAGAGTGGAATAAGCAGAGGAGCAACATAGATTTATTCAAATGAATGCAAGTATCATGAATCAGTCTGATGAACCATGAAAGAGGCTTCTCATCAATAGAGCTCATTGTAGAATTAGAGTGGAATAAGCAGAGGAGCAACATAGATTTATTCAAATGAATGCAAGTATCATGAATCAGTCTGATGAACCATGAAAGAGGCTTCTCATCAATAGAGCTCATTGTAGAATTAGAGTGGAATAAGCAGAGGAGCAACATAGATTTATTCAAATGAATGCAAGTATCATGAATCAGTCTGATGAACCATGAAAGAGGCTTCTCATCAATAGAGCTCATTGTAGAATTAGAGTGGAATAAGCAGAGGAGCAACATAGATTTATTCAAATGAATGCAAGTATCATGAATCAGTCTGATGAACCATGAAGAGGCTTCTCATCAATAGAGCTCATTGTAGAATTAGAGTGGAATAAGCAGAGGAGCAACATAGATTTATTCAAATGAATGCAAGTATCATGAATCAGTCTGATGAACCATGAAAGAGGCTTCTCATCAATAGAGCTCATTGTAGAATTAGAGTGGAATAAGCAGAGGAGCAACATAGATTTATTCAAATGAATGCAAGTATCATGAATCAGTCTGATGAACCATGAAAGAGGCTTCTCATCAATAGAGCTCATTGTAGAATTAAGTGGAATAAGCAGAGGAGCAACATAGATTTATTCAAATGAATGCAAGTATCATGAATCAGTCTGATGAACCATGAAAAGGCTTCTCATCAATAGAGCTCATTGTAGAATTAAAGTGGAATAAGCAGAGGAGCAACATAGATTTATTCAAATGAATGCAAGTATCATGAATCAGTCTGATGAACCATGAAAGAGGCTTCTCATCAATAGAGCTCATTGTAGAATTAGAGTGGAATAAGCAGAGGAGCAACATAGATTTATTCAAATGAATGCAAGTATCATGAATCAGTCTGATGAACCATGAAAGAGGCTTCTCATCAATAGAGCTCATTGTAGAATTAAAGTGGAATAAGCAGAGGAGCAACATAGATTTATTCAAATGAATGCAAGTATCATGAATCAGTCTGATGAACCATGAAAGAGGCTTCTCATCAATAGAGCTCATTGTAGAATTAGAGTGGAATAAGCAGAGGAGCAACATAGATTTATTCAAATGAATGCAAGTATCATGAATCAGTCTGATGAACCATGAAAGAGGCTTCTCATCAATAGAGCTCATTGTAGAATTAAGTGGAATAAGCAGAGGAGCAACATAGATTTATTCAAATGAATGCAAGTATCATGAATCAGTCTGATGAACCATGAAAGAGGCTTCTCATCAATAGAGCTCATTGTAGAATTAGAGTGGAATAAGCAGAGGAGCAACATAGATTTATTCAAATGAATGCAAGTATCATGAATCAGTCTGATGAACCATGAAAGAGGCTTCTCATCAATAGAGCTCATTGTAGAATTAGAGTGGAATAAGCAGAGGAGCAACATAGATTTATTCAAATGAATGCAAGTATCATGAATCAGTCTGATGAACCATGAAAGAGGCTTCTCATCAATAGAGCTCATTGTAGAATTAGAGTGGAATAAGCAGAGGAGCAACATAGATTTATTCAAATGAATGCAAGTATCATGAATCAGTCTGATGAACCATGAAAGAGGCTTCTCATCAATAGAGCTCATTGTAGAATTAAAGTGGAATAAGCAGAGGAGCAACATAGATTTATTCAAATGAATGCAAGTATCATGAATCAGTCTGATGAACCATGAAAAGGCTTCTCATCAATAGAGCTCATTGTAGAATTAGAGTGGAATAAGCAGAGGAGCAACATAGATTTATTCAAATGAATGCAAGTATCATGAATCAGTCTGATGAACCATGAAAGAGGCTTCTCATCAATAGAGCTCATTGTAGAATTAGAGTGGAATAAGCAGAGGAGCAACATAGATTTATTCAAATGAATGCAAGTATCATGAATCAGTCTGATGAACCATGAAAGGCTTCTCATCAATAGAGCTCATTGTAGAATTAGAGTGGAATAAGCAGAGGAGCAACATAGATTTATTCAAATGAATGCAAGTATCATGAATCAGTCTGATGAACCATGAAAGAGGCTTCTCATCAATAGAGCTCATTGTAGAATTAAGTGGAATAAGCAGAGGAGCAACATAGATTTATTCAAATGAATGCAAGTATCATGAATCAGTCTGATGAACCATGAAAGAGGCTTCTCATCAATAGAGCTCATTGTAGAATTAAAGTGGAATAAGCAGAGGAGCAACATAGATTTATTCAAATGAATGCAAGTATCATGAATCAGTCTGATGAACCATGAAAGAGGCTTCTCATCAATAGAGCTCATTGTAGAATTAGAGTGGAATAAGCAGAGGAGCAACATAGATTTATTCAAATGAATGCAAGTATCATGAATCAGTCTGATGAACCATGAAAGAGGCTTCTCATCAATAGAGCTCATTGTAGAATTAGAGTGGAATAAGCAGAGGAGCAACATAGATTTATTCAAATGAATGCAAGTATCATGAATCAGTCTGATGAACCATGAAAGAGGCTTCTCATCAATAGAGCTCATTGTAGAATTAGAGTGGAATAAGCAGAGGAGCAACATAGATTTATTCAAATGAATGCAAGTATCATGAATCAGTCTGATGAACCATGAAAGGCTTCTCATCAATCAAGAGCTCATTGTAGAATTAGAGTGGAATAAGCAGAGGAGCAACATAGATTTATTCAAATGAATGCAAGTATCATGAATCAGTCTGATGAACCATGAAAGAGGCTTCTCATCAATAGAGCTCATTGTAGAATTAGAGTGGAATAAGCAGAGGAGCAACATAGATTTATTCAAATGAATGCAAGTATCATGAATCAGTCTGATGAACCATGAAAGAGGCTTCTCATCAATAGAGCTCATTGTAGAATTAGAGTGGAATAAGCAGAGGAGCAACATAGATTTATTCAAATGAATGCAAGTATCATGAATCAGTCTGATGAACCATGAAAGAGGCTTCTCATCAATAGAGCTCATTGTAGAATTAAAGTGGAATAAGCAGAGGAGCAACATAGATTTATTCAAATGAATGCAAGTATCATGAATCAGTCTGATGAACCATGAAAAGGCTTCTCATCAATAGAGCTCATTGTAGAATTAAAGTGGAATAAGCAGAGGAGCAACATAGATTTATTCAAATGAATGCAAGTATCATGAATCAGTCTGATGAACCATGAAAGAGGCTTCTCATCAATAGAGCTCATTGTAGAATTAGAGTGGAATAAGCAGAGGAGCAACATAGATTTATTCAAATGAATGCAAGTATCATGAATCAGTCTGATGAACCATGAAAGAGGCTTCTCATCAATAGAGCTCATTGTAGAATTAGAGTGGAATAAGCAGAGGAGCAACATAGATTTATTCAAATGAATGCAAGTATCATGAATCAGTCTGATGAACCATGGCTTCTCAAGAGCTCATTGTAGCTGGAATCAACATAGATTTATTCAAATGAATGCAAGTATCATTGAACCATGAAAGAGGCTTCTCATCAAGAGTTCATTTAGAATTAGAGTGGAATAAGCAGAGGAGCAACATAGATTTATTCAAATGAATGCAAGTATCATGAATCAGTCTGATGAACCATGAAAGAGGCTTCTCATCAATAGAGCTCATTGTAGAATTAGAGTGGAATAAGCAGAGGAGCAACATAGATTTATTCAAATGAATGCAAGTATCATGAATCAGTCTGATGAACCATGAAAGAGGCTTCTCATCAATAGAGCTCATTGTAGAATTAGAGTGGAATAAGCAGAGGAGCAACATAGATTTATTCAAATGAATGCAAGTATCATGAATCAGTCTGATGAACCATGAAAGAGGCTTCTCATCAATAGAGCTCATTGTAGAATTAGAGTGGAATAAGCAGAGGAGCAACATAGATTTATTCAAATGAATGCAAGTATCATGAATCAGTCTGATGAACCATGAAAGGCTTCTCATCAATAGAGCTCATTGTAGAATTAAAGTGGAATAAGCAGAGGAGCAACATAGATTTATTCAAATGAATGCAAGTATCATGAATCAGTCTGATGAACCATGAAAGAGGCTTCTCATCAATAGAGCTCATTGTAGAATTAAAGTGGAATAAGCAGAGGAGCAACATAGATTTATTCAAATGAATGCAAGTATCATGAATCAGTCTGATGAACCATGAAAGAGGCTTCTCATCAATAGAGCTCATTGTAGAATTAGAGTGGAATAAGCAGAGGAGCAACATAGATTTATTCAAATGAATGCAAGTATCATGAATCAGTCTGATGAACCATGAAAGAGGCTTCTCATCAATAGAGCTCATTGTAGAATTAGAGTGGAATAAGCAGAGGAGCAACATAGATTTATTCAAATGAATGCAAGTATCATGAATCAGTCTGATGAACCATGAAAGAGGCTTCTCATCAATAGAGCTCATTGTAGAATTAAAGTGGAATAAGCAGAGGAGCAACATAGATTTATTCAAATGAATGCAAGTATCATGAATCAGTCTGATGAACCATGAAAGAGGCTTCTCATCAATAGAGCTCATTGTAGAATTAAAGTGGAATAAGCAGAGGAGCAACATAGATTTATTCAAATGAATGCAAGTATCATGAATCAGTCTGATGAACCATGAAAGAGGCTTCTCATCAATAGAGCTCATTGTAGAATTAGAGTGGAATAAGCAGAGGAGCAACATAGATTTATTCAAATGAATGCAAGTATCATGAATCAGTCTGATGAACCATGAAAGAGGCTTCTCATCAATAGAGCTCATTGTAGAATTAAGTGGAATAAGCAGAGGAGCAACATAGATTTATTCAAATGAATGCAAGTATCATGAATCAGTCTGATGAACCATGAAAGAGGCTTCTCATCAATAGAGCTCATTGTAGAATTAGAGTGGAATAAGCAGAGGAGCAACATAGATTTATTCAAATGAATGCAAGTATCATGAATCAGTCTGATGAACCATGAAGAGGCTTCTCATCAATAGAGCTCATTGTAGAATTAGAGTGGAATAAGCAGAGGAGCAACATAGATTTATTCAAATGAATGCAAGTATCATGAATCAGTCTGATGAACCATGAAAAGGCTTCTCATCAATAGAGCTCATTGTAGAATTAGAGTGGAATAAGCAGAGGAGCAACATAGATTTATTCAAATGAATGCAAGTATCATGAATCAGTCTGATGAACCATGAAAGAGGCTTCTCATCAATAGAGCTCATTGTAGAATTAGAGTGGAATAAGCAGAGGAGCAACATAGATTTATTCAAATGAATGCAAGTATCATGAATCAGTCTGATGAACCATGAAAGAGGCTTCTCATCAATAGAGCTCATTGTAGAATTAGAGTGGAATAAGCAGAGGAGCAACATAGATTTATTCAAATGAATGCAAGTATCATGAATCAGTCTGATGAACCATGAAAGAGGCTTCTCATCAATAGAGCTCATTGTAGAATTAGAGTGGAATAAGCAGAGGAGCAACATAGATTTATTCAAATGAATGCAAGTATCATGAATCAGTCTGATGAACCATGGAAGAGGCTTCTCATCAATAGAGCTCATTGTAGAATTAGAGTGGAATAAGCAGAGGAGCAACATAGATTTATTCAAATGAATGCAAGTATCATGAATCAGTCTGATGAACCATGAAAGAGGCTTCTCATCAATAGAGCTCATTGTAGAATTAGAGTGGAATAAGCAGAGAGGAGCAACATAGATTTATTCAAATGAATGCAAGTATCATGAATCAGTCTGATGAACCATGAAAGAGGCTTCTCATCAATAGAGCTCATTGTAGAATTAAAGTGGAATAAGCAGAGGAGCAACATAGATTTATTCAAATGAATGCAAGTATCATGAATCAGTCTGATGAACCATGAAAAGGCTTCTCATCAATAGAGCTCATTGTAGAATTAGAGTGGAATAAGCAGAGGAGCAACATAGATTTATTCAAATGAATGCAAGTATCATGAATCAGTCTGATGAACCATGAAAAGGCTTCTCATCAATAGAGCTCATTGTAGAATTAGAGTGGAATAAGCAGAGGAGCAACATAGATTTATTCAAATGAATGCAAGTATCATGAATCAGTCTGATGAACCATGAAAGAGGCTTCTCATCAATAGAGCTCATTGTAGAATTAGAGTGGAATAAGCAGAGGAGCAACATAGATTTATTCAAATGAATGCAAGTATCATGAATCAGTCTGATGAACCATGAAAGAGGCTTCTCATCAATAGAGCTCATTGTAGAATTAAGTGGAATAAGCAGAGGAGCAACATAGATTTATTCAAATGAATGCAAGTATCATGAATCAGTCTGATGAACCATGAAAGAGGCTTCTCATCAATAGAGCTCATTGTAGAATTAGAAGTGGAATAAGCAGAGGAGCAACATAGATTTATTCAAATGAATGCAAGTATCATGAATCAGTCTGATGAACCATGAAAGAGGCTTCTCATCAATAGAGCTCATTGTAGAATTTAAGTGGAATAAGCAGAGGAGCAACATAGATTTATTCAAATGAATGCAAGTATCATGAATCAGTCTGATGAACCATGAAAGGCTTCTCATCAATAGAGCTCATTGTAGAATTAAAGTGGAATAAGCAGAGGAGCAACATAGATTTATTCAAATGAATGCAAGTATCATGAATCAGTCTGATGAACCATGAAAGAGCTTCTCATCAATAGAGCTCATTGTAGAATTAGAGTGGAATAAGCAGAGGAGCAACATAGATTTATTCAAATGAATGCAAGTATCATGAATCAGTCTGATGAACCATGAAAGAGGCTTCTCATCAATAGAGCTCATTGTAGAATTAAAGTGGAATAAGCAGAGGAGCAACATAGATTTATTCAAATGAATGCAAGTATCATGAATCAGTCTGATGAACCATGAAAGAGGCTTCTCATCAATAGAGCTCATTGTAGAATTAAAGTGGAATAAGCAGAGGAGCAACATAGATTTATTCAAATGAATGCAAGTATCATGAATCAGTCTGATGAACCATGAAAGAGGCTTCTCATCAATAGAGCTCATTGTAGAATTAGAGTGGAATAAGCAGAGGAGCAACATAGATTTATTCAAATGAATGCAAGTATCATGAATCAGTCTGATGAACCATGAAAGAGGCTTCTCATCAATAGAGCTCATTGTAGAATTAGAGTGGAATAAGCAGAGGAGCAACATAGATTTATTCAAATGAATGCAAGTATCATGAATCAGTCTGATGAACCATGAAAAGGCTTCTCATCAATAGAGCTCATTGTAGAATTAGAGTGGAATAAGCAGAGGAGCAACATAGATTTATTCAAATGAATGCAAGTATCATGAATCAGTCTGATGAACCATGAAAGAGGCTTCTCATCAATAGAGCTCATTGTAGAATTAGAGTGGAATAAGCAGAGGAGCAACATAGATTTATTCAAATGAATGCAAGTATCATGAATCAGTCTGATGAACCATGAAAGGCTTCTCATCAATAGAGCTCATTGTAGAATTAGAGTGGAATAAGCAGAGGAGCAACATAGATTTATTCAAATGAATGCAAGTATCATGAATCAGTCTGATGAACCATGAAAAGGCTTCTCATCAATAGAGCTCATTGTAGAATTAGAAAGTGGAATAAGCAGAGGAGCAACATAGATTTATTCAAATGAATGCAAGTATCATGAATCAGTCTGATGAACCATGAAAGAGGCTTCTCATCAATAGAGCTCATTGTAGAATTAGAGTGGAATAAGCAGAGGAGCAACATAGATTTATTCAAATGAATGCAAGTATCATGAATCAGTCTGATGAACCATGAAAGAGGCTTCTCATCAATAGAGCTCATTGTAGAATTAGAGTGGAATAAGCAGAGGAGCAACATAGATTTATTCAAATGAATGCAAGTATCATGAATCAGTCTGATGAACCATGAAAAGGCTTCTCATCAATAGAGCTCATTGTAGAATTAGAGTGGAATAAGCAGAGGAGCAACATAGATTTATTCAAATGAATGCAAGTATCATGAATCAGTCTGATGAACCATGAAAGAGGCTTCTCATCAATAGAGCTCATTGTAGAATTAAGTGGAATAAGCAGAGGAGCAACATAGATTTATTCAAATGAATGCAAGTATCATGAATCAGTCTGATGAACCATGAAAGAGGCTTCTCATCAATAGAGCTCATTGTAGAATTAGAGTGGAATAAGCAGAGGAGCAACATAGATTTATTCAAATGAATGCAAGTATCATGAATCAGTCTGATGAACCATGAAAGAGGCTTCTCATCAATAGAGCTCATTGTAGAATTAGAGTGGAATAAGCAGAGGAGCAACATAGATTTATTCAAATGAATGCAAGTATCATGAATCAGTCTGATGAACCATGAAAGAGGCTTCTCATCAATAGAGCTCATTGTAGAATTAGAGTGGAATAAGCAGAGGAGCAACATAGATTTATTCAAATGAATGCAAGTATCATGAATCAGTCTGATGAACCATGAAAGAGGCTTCTCATCAATAGAGCTCATTGTAGAATTAGAGTGGAATAAGCAGAGGAGCAACATAGATTTATTCAAATGAATGCAAGTATCATGAATCAGTCTGATGAACCATGAAAGAGGCTTCTCATCAATAGAGCTCATTGTAGAATTAAAGTGGAATAAGCAGAGGAGCAACATAGATTTATTCAAATGAATGCAAGTATCATGAATCAGTCTGATGAACCATGAAAAGGCTTCTCATCAATAGAGCTCATTGTAGAATTAGAGTGGAATAAGCAGAGGAGCAACATAGATTTATTCAAATGAATGCAAGTATCATGAATCAGTCTGATGAACCATGAAAGAGGCTTCTCATCAATAGAGCTCATTGTAGAATTAGAGTGGAATAAGCAGAGGAGCAACATAGATTTATTCAAATGAATGCAAGTATCATGAATCAGTCTGATGAACCATGAAAGAGGCTTCTCATCAATAGAGCTCATTGTAGAATTAGAGTGGAATAAGCAGAGGAGCAACATAGATTTATTCAAATGAATGCAAGTATCATGAATCAGTCTGATGAACCATGAAAGAGGCTTCTCATCAATAGAGCTCATTGTAGAATTAAAGTGGAATAAGCAGAGGAGCAACATAGATTTATTCAAATGAATGCAAGTATCATGAATCAGTCTGATGAACCATGAAAGAGGCTTCTCATCAATAGAGCTCATTGTAGAATTAGAGTGGAATAAGCAGAGGAGCAACATAGATTTATTCAAATGAATGCAAGTATCATGAATCAGTCTGATGAACCATGAAAGAGGCTTCTCATCAATAGAGCTCATTGTAGAATTAGAGTGGAATAAGCAGAGGAGCAACATAGATTTATTCAAATGAATGCAAGTATCATGAATCAGTCTGATGAACCATGAAAGAGGCTTCTCATCAATAGAGCTCATTGTAGAATTAGAGTGGAATAAGCAGAGGAGCAACATAGATTTATTCAAATGAATGCAAGTATCATGAATCAGTCTGATGAACCATGAAAGAGGCTTCTCATCAATAGAGCTCATTGTAGAATTAAGTGGAATAAGCAGAGGAGCAACATAGATTTATTCAAATGAATGCAAGTATCATGAATCAGTCTGATGAACCATGAAAGAGGCTTCTCATCAATAGAGCTCATTGTAGAATTAAAGTGGAATAAGCAGAGGAGCAACATAGATTTATTCAAATGAATGCAAGTATCATGAATCAGTCTGATGAACCATGAAAGAGGCTTCTCATCAATAGAGCTCATTGTAGAATTAGAGTGGAATAAGCAGAGGAGCAACATAGATTTATTCAAATGAATGCAAGTATCATGAATCAGTCTGATGAACCATGAAAGAGGCTTCTCATCAATAGAGCTCATTGTAGAATTAGAGTGGAATAAGCAGAGGAGCAACATAGATTTATTCAAATGAATGCAAGTATCATGAATCAGTCTGATGAACCATGAAAGAGGCTTCTCATCAATAGAGCTCATTGTAGAATTAAAGTGGAATAAGCAGAGGAGCAACATAGATTTATTCAAATGAATGCAAGTATCATGAATCAGTCTGATGAACCATGAAAGAGGCTTCTCATCAATAGAGCTCATTGTAGAATTAGAGTGGAATAAGCAGAGGAGCAACATAGATTTATTCAAATGAATGCAAGTATCATGAATCAGTCTGATGAACCATGAAAAGAGGCTGAACCATTCTCATCAATAGAGCTCATTGTAGAATTAGAAAGTGGAATAAGCAGAGGAGCAACATAGATTTATTCAAATGAATGCAAGTATCATGAATCAGTCTGATGAACCATGAAAGAGGCTTCTCATCAATAGAGCTCATTGTAGAATTAAAGTGGAATAAGCAGAGGAGCAACATAGATTTATTCAAATGAATGCAAGTATCATGAATCAGTCTGATGAACCATGAAAGAGGCTTCTCATCAATAGAGCTCATTTAGAATTAGAGTGGAATAAGCAGAGGAGCAACATAGATTTATTCAAATGAATGCAAGTATCATGAATCAGTCTGATGAACCATGAAAAGGCTTCTCATCAATAGAGCTCATTGTAGAATTAGAGTGGAATAAGCAGAGGAGCAACATAGATTTATTCAAATGAATGCAAGTATCATGAATCAGTCTGATGAACCATGAAAGAGGCTTCTCATCAATAGAGCTCATTGTAGAATTAAAGTGGAATAAGCAGAGGAGCAACATAGATTTATTCAAATGAATGCAAGTATCATGAATCAGTCTGATGAACCATGAAAGAGGCTTCTCATCAATAGAGCTCATTGTAGAATTAAAGTGGAATAAGCAGAGGAGCAACATAGATTTATTCAAATGAATGCAAGTATCATGAATCAGTCTGATGAACCATGAAAGAGGCTTCTCATCAATAGAGCTCATTGTAGAATTAGAGTGGAATAAGCAGAGGAGCAACATAGATTTATTCAAATGAATGCAAGTATCATGAATCAGTCTGATGAACCATGAAAGAGGCTTCTCATCAATAGAGCTCATTGTAGAATTAAAGTGGAATAAGCAGAGGAGCAACATAGATTTATTCAAATGAATGCAAGTATCATGAATCAGTCTGATGAACCATGAAAGAGGCTTCTCATCAATAGAGCTCATTGTAGAATTAGAGTGGAATAAGCAGAGGAGCAACATAGATTTATTCAAATGAATGCAAGTATCATGAATCAGTCTGATGAACCATGAAAGAGGCTTCTCATCAATAGAGCTCATTGTAGAATTAGAGTGGAATAAGCAGAGGAGCAACATAGATTTATTCAAATGAATGCAAGTATCATGAATCAGTCTGATGAACCATGAAAGAGGCTTCTCATCAATAGAGCTCATTGTAGAATTAAAGTGGAATAAGCAGAGGAGCAACATAGATTTATTCAAATGAATGCAAGTATCATGAATCAGTCTGATGAACCATGAAAGAGGCTTCTCATCAATAGAGCTCATTGTAGAATTAAAGTGGAATAAGCAGAGGAGCAACATAGATTTATTCAAATGAATGCAAGTATCATGAATCAGTCTGATGAACCATGAAAGAGGCTTCTCATCAATAGAGCTCATTGTAGAATTAAAGTGGAATAAGCAGAGGAGCAACATAGATTTATTCAAATGAATGCAAGTATCATGAATCAGTCTGATGAACCATGAAAGAGGCTTCTCATCAATAGAGCTCATTGTAGAATTAGAGTGGAATAAGCAGAGGAGCAACATAGATTTATTCAAATGAATGCAAGTATCATGAATCAGTCTGATGAACCATGAAAAAGAGGCTTCTCATCAATAGAGCTCATTGTAGAATTAGAGTGGAATAAGCAGAGGAGCAACATAGATTTATTCAAATGAATGCAAGTATCATGAATCAGTCTGATGAACCATGAAAGAGGCTTCTCATCAATAGAGCTCATTGTAGAATTAGAGTGGAATAAGCAGAGGAGCAACATAGATTTATTCAAATGAATGCAAGTATCATGAATCAGTCTGATGAACCATGGAAGAGGCTTCTCATCAATAGAGCTCATTGTAGAATTAGAGTGGAATAAGCAGAGGAGCAACATAGATTTATTCAAATGAATGCAAGTATCATGAATCAGTCTGATGAACCATGAAAGAGGCTTCTCATCAATAGAGCTCATTGTAGAATTAAAGTGGAATAAGCAGAGGAGCAACATAGATTTATTCAAATGAATGCAAGAATATCATGAAATCAGTCTCATGAACCATTGCAAAGATTTATTCAAATGAATCTCATCAATGAAGAAAGCTTCTCATTGAGCTCAGAATTAAAGTGGAATAAGCAGAGGAGCAACATAGATTTATTCAAATGAATGCAAGTATCATGAATCAGTCTGATGAACCATGAAAAGAGGCTTCTCATCAATAGAGCTCATTGTAGAATTGGAGTGGAATAAGCAGAGGAGCAACATAGATTTATTCAAATGAATGCAAGTATCATGAATCAGTCTGATGAACCATGAAAGAGGCTTCTCATCAATAGAGCTCATTGTAGAATTGAAAGTGGAATAAGCAGAGGAGCAACATAGATTTATTCAAATGAATGCAAGTATCATGAATCAGTCTGATGAACCATGAAAGAGGCTTCTCATCAATAGAGCTCATTGTAGAATTAAAGTGGAATAAGCAGAGGAGCAACATAGATTTATTCAAATGAATGCAAGTATCATGAATCAGTCTGATGAACCATGAAAGAGGCTTCTCATCAATAGAGCTCATTGTAGAATTAGAGTGGAATAAGCAGAGGAGCAACATAGATTTATTCAAATGAATGCAAGTATCATGAATCAGTCTGATGAACCATGAAAAGGCTTCTCATCAATAGAGCTCATTGTAGAATTAGAGTGGAATAAGCAGAGGAGCAACATAGATTTATTCAAATGAATGCAAGTATCATGAATCAGTCTGATGAACCATGAAAGAGGCTTCTCATCAATAGAGCTCATTGTAGAATTAGAGTGGAATAAGCAGAGGAGCAACATAGATTTATTCAAATGAATGCAAGTATCATGAATCAGTCTGATGAACCATGAAAGAGGCTTCTCATCAATAGAGCTCATTGTAGAATTAGAGTGGAATAAGCAGAGGAGCAACATAGATTTATTCAAATGAATGCAAGTATCATGAATCAGTCTGATGAACCATGAAAGAGGCTTCTCATCAATAGAGCTCATTGTAGAATTAGAGTGGAATAAGCAGAGGAGCAACATAGATTTATTCAAATGAATGCAAGTATCATGAATCAGTCTGATGAACCATGAAAGAGGCTTCTCATCAATAGAGCTCATTGTAGAATTTAAGTGGAATAAGCAGAGGAGCAACATAGATTTATTCAAATGAATGCAAGTATCATGAATCAGTCTGATGAACCATGAAAGAGGCTTCTCATCAATAGAGCTCATTGTAGAATTAGAGTGGAATAAGCAGAGGAGCAACATAGATTTATTCAAATGAATGCAAGTATCATGAATCAGTCTGATGAACCATGAAAGAGGCTTCTCATCAATAGAGCTCATTGTAGAATTAGAGTGGAATAAGCAGAGGAGCAACATAGATTTATTCAAATGAATGCAAGTATCATGAATCAGTCTGATGAACCATGAAAGAGGCTTCTCATCAATAGAGCTCATTGTAGAATTAGAGTGGAATAAGCAGAGGAGCAACATAGATTTATTCAAATGAATGCAAGTATCATGAATCAGTCTGATGAACCATGAAAGAGGCTTCTCATCAATAGAGCTCATTGTAGAATTAGTGGAATAAGCAGAGAGCAACATAGATTTATTCAAATGAATGCAAGTATCATGAATCAGTCTGATGAACCATGAAAGAGGCTTCTCATCAATAGAGCTCATTGTAGAATTAGAGTGGAATAAGCAGAGGAGCAACATAGATTTATTCAAATGAATGCAAGTATCATGAATCAGTCTGATGAACCATGAAAGAGGCTTCTCATCAATAGAGCTCATTGTAGAATTAAAGTGGAATAAGCAGAGGAGCAACATAGATTTATTCAAATGAATGCAAGTATCATGAATCAGTCTGATGAACCATGAAAGAGGCTTCTCATCAATAGAGCTCATTGTAGAATTAGAGTGGAATAAGCAGAGGAGCAACATAGATTTATTCAAATGAATGCAAGTATCATGAATCAGTCTGATGAACCATGAAAGAGGCTTCTCATCAATAGAGCTCATTGTAGAATTAGAGTGGAATAAGCAGAGCAACATAGATTTATTCAAATGAATGCAAGTATCATGAATCAGTCTGATGAACCATGAAAGAGGCTTCTCATCAATAGAGCTCATTGTAGAATTAGAGTGGAATAAGCAGAGGAGCAACATAGATTTATTCAAATGAATGCAAGTATCATGAATCAGTCTGATGAACCATGAAAGAGGCTTCTCATCAATAGAGCTCATTGTAGAATTAGAGTGGAATAAGCAGAGGAGCAACATAGATTTATTCAAATGAATGCAAGTATCATGAATCAGTCTGATGAACCATGAAAGAGGCTTCTCATCAATAGAGCTCATTGTAGAATTAGAGTGGAATAAGCAGAGGAGCAACATAGATTTATTCAAATGAATGCAAGTATCATGAATCAGTCTGATGAACCATGAAAGAGGCTTCTCATCAATAGAGCTCATTGTAGAATTAGAGTGGAATAAGCAGAGGAGCAACATAGATTTATTCAAATGAATGCAAGTATCATGAATCAGTCTGATGAACCATGAAAGAGGCTTCTCATCAATAGAGCTCATTCATTGTAGAATTAAAGTGGAATAAGCAGAGGAGCAACATAGATTTATTCAAATGAATGCAAGTATCATGAATCAGTCTGATGAACCATGAAAGAGGCTTCTCATCAATAGAGCTCATTGTAGAATTAAATGGAAAATTGGAATAAGCAGAGGACAACATAGATTTATTCAAATGAATGCAAGTATCATGAATCAGTCTGATGAACCATGAAAGAGGCTTCTCATCAATAGAGCTCATTGTAGAATTAAAGTGGAATAAGCAGAGGAGCAACATAGATTTATTCAAATGAATGCAAGTATCATGAATCAGTCTGATGAACCATGAAAGGGCTTCTCATCAATAGAGCTCATTGTAGAATTAGAGTGGAATAAGCAGAGGAGCAACATAGATTTATTCAAATGAATGCAAGTATCATGAATCAGTCTGATGAACCATGAAAGAGGCTTCTCATCAATAGAGCTCATTGTAGAATTAGAGTGGAATAAGCAGAGGAGCAACATAGATTTATTCAAATGAATGCAAGTATCATGAATCAGTCTGATGAACCATGAAAGAGGCTTCTCATCAATAGAGCTCATTGTAGAATTAGAGTGGAATAAGCAGAGGAGCAACATAGATTTATTCAAATGAATGCAAGTATCATGAATCAGTCTGATGAACCATGAAAGAGGCTTCTCATCAATAGAGCTCATTGTAGAATTAGAGTGGAATAAGCAGAGGAGCAACATAGATTTATTCAAATGAATGCAAGTATCATGAATCAGTCTGATGAACCATGAAAGAGGCTTCTCATCAATAGAGCTCATTGTAGAATTAAAGTGGAATAAGCAGAGGAGCAACATAGATTTATTCAAATGAATGCAAGTATCATGAATCAGTCTGATGAACCATGAAAGAGGCTTCTCATCAATAGAGCTCATTGTAGAATTAGAGTGGAATAAGCAGAGGAGCAACATAGATTTATTCAAATGAATGCAAGTATCATGAATCAGTCTGATGAACCATGAAAGAGGCTTCTCATCAATAGAGCTCATTGTAGAATTAGAGTGGAATAAGCAGAGGAGCAACATAGATTTATTCAAATGAATGCAAGTATCATGAATCAGTCTGATGAACCATGAAAGAGGCTTCTCATCAATAGAGCTCATTGTAGAATTAGAGTGGAATAAGCAGAGGAGCAACATAGATTTATTCAAATGAATGCAAGTATCATGAATCAGTCTGATGAACCATGAAAGAGGCTTCTCATCAATAGAGCTCATTGTAGAATTAGAGTGGAATAAGCAGAGGAGCAACATAGATTTATTCAAATGAATGCAAGTATCATGAATCAGTCTGATGAACCATGAAAGAGGCTTCTCATCAATAGAGCTCATTGTAGAATTAGAAAGTGGAATAAGCAGAGGAGCAACATAGATTTATTCAAATGAATGCAAGTATCATGAATCAGTCTGATGAACCATGAAAGAGGCTTCTCATCAATAGAGCTCATTGTAGAATTAGAGTGGAATAAGCAGAGGAGCAACATAGATTTATTCAAATGAATGCAAGTATCATGAATCAGTCTGATGAACCATGAAGAGGCTTCTCATCAATAGAGCTCATTGTAGAATTAAAGTGGAATAAGCAGAGGAGCAACATAGATTTATTCAAATGAATGCAAGTATCATGAATCAGTCTGATGAACCATGAAAGAGGCTTCTCATCAATAGAGCTCATTGTAGAATTAGAGTGGAATAAGCAGAGGAGCAACATAGATTTATTCAAATGAATGCAAGTATCATGAATCAGTCTGATGAACCATGAAAGAGGCTTCTCATCAATAGAGCTCATTGTAGAATTTAAGTGGAATAAGCAGAGGAGCAACATAGATTTATTCAAATGAATGCAAGTATCATGAATCAGTCTGATGAACCATGAAAGAGGCTTCTCATCAATAGAGCTCATTGTAGAATTAGAGTGGAATAAGCAGAGGAGCAACATAGATTTATTCAAATGAATGCAAGTATCATGAATCAGTCTGATGAACCATGAAAAGCTTCTCTTCTCATCAATAGAGCTCATTGTAGAATTAGAGTGGAATAAGCAGAGGAGCAACATAGATTTATTCAAATGAATGCAAGATTTATCAAATGAATCAGTCATGAATCAGAATGAACCATGAAAGAGGCTTCTCATCAATAGAGCTCATTGTAGAATTAGAGTGGAATAAGCAGAGGAGCAACATAGATTTATTCAAATGAATGCAAGTATCATGAATCAGTCTGATGAACCATGAAAAGGCTTCTCATCAATAGAGCTCATTGTAGAATTAAGTGGAATAAGCAGAGGAGCAACATAGATTTATTCAAATGAATGCAAGTATCATGAATCAGTCTGATGAACCATGAAAGAGGCTTCTCATCAATAGAGCTCATTGTAGAATTAGAGTGGAATAAGCAGAGGAGCAACATAGATTTATTCAAATGAATGCAAGTATCATGAATCAGTCTGATGAACCATGAAAGAGGCTTCTCATCAATAGAGCTCATTGTAGAATTAGAGTGGAATAAGCAGAGGAGCAACATAGATTTATTCAAATGAATGCAAGTATCATGAATCAGTCTGATGAACCATGAAAGAGGCTTCTCATCAATAGAGCTCATTGTAGAATTAGAGTGGAATAAGCAGAGGAGCAACATAGATTTATTCAAATGAATGCAAGTATCATGAATCAGTCTGATGAACCATGAAAGAGGCTTCTCATCAATAGAGCTCATTGTAGAATTAGAGTGGAATAAGCAGAGGAGCAACATAGATTTATTCAAATGAATGCAAGTATCATGAATCAGTCTGATGAACCATGAAAGAGGCTTCTCATCAATAGAGCTCATTGTAGAATTAGAGTGGAATAAGCAGAGGAGCAACATAGATTTATTCAAATGAATGCAAGTATCATGAATCAGTCTGATGAACCATGAAAGAAGGCTTCTCATCAATAGAGCTCATTGTAGAATTGATGAACCATGAGTGGAATAAGCAGAGGAGCAACATAGATTTATTCAAATGAATGCAAGTATCATGAATCAGTCTGATGAACCATGAAAGAGGCTTCTCATCAATAGAGCTCATTGTAGAATTAAAGTGGAATAAGCAGAGGAGCAACATAGATTTATTCAAATGAATGCAAGTATCATGAATCAGTCTGATGAACCATGAAAGAGGCTTCTCATCAATAGAGCTCATTGTAGAATTAGAGTGGAATAAGCAGAGGAGCAACATAGATTTATTCAAATGAATGCAAGTATCATGAATCAGTCTGATGAACCATGAAAGAGGCTTCTCATCAATAGAGCTCATTGTAGAATTAGAGTGGAATAAGCAGAGGAGCAACATAGATTTATTCAAATGAATGCAAGTATCATGAATCAGTCTGATGAACCATGAAAGAGGCTTCTCATCAATAGAGCTCATTGTAGAATTAGAGTGGAATAAGCAGAGGGCAACATAGATTTATTCAAATGAATGCAAGTATCATGAATCAGTCTGATGAACCATGAAAGAGGCTTCTCATCAATAGAGCTCATTGTAGAATTAAAGTGGAATAAGCAGAGGAGCAACATAGATTTATTCAAATGAATGCAAGTATCATGAATCAATCTGATGAACCATGAAAGAGGCTTCTCATCAATAGAGCTCATTGTAGAATTAGAGTGGAATAAGCAGAGGAGCAACATAGATTTATTCAAATGAATGCAAGTATCATGAATCAGTCTGATGAACCATGAAAGAGCTTCTCATCAATAGAGCTCATTGTAGAATTAAGTGGAATAAGCAGAGCAACATAGATTTATTCAAATGAATGTATCATGAATCAGTCTGATGAACCATAGGCTTCTCATCAATAGAGCTCATTGTGGAATAAGCAGTGGAATAAGCAGAGGAGCAACATAGATTTATTCAAATGAATGCAAGTATCATGAATCAGTCTGATGAACCATGAAAGAGGCTTCTCATCAATAGAGCTCATTGTAGAATTAGAGTGGAATAAATAAGAGGAGCAACATAGATTTATTCAAATGAATGCAAGTATCATGAATCAGTCTGATGAACCATGAAAGAGGCTTCTCATCAATAGAGCTCATTGTAGAATTAAGTGGAATAAGCAGAGGAGCAACATAGATTTATTCAAATGAATGCAAGTATCATGAATCAGTCTGATGAACCATGAAAGAGGCTTCTCATCAATAGAGCTCATTGTAGAATTAGAGTGGAATAAGCAGAGGAGCAACATAGATTTATTCAAATGAATGCAAGTATCATGAATCAGTCTGATGAACCATGAAAGAGGCTTCTCATCAATAGAGCTCATTGTAGAATTAAAGTGGAATAAGCAGAGGAGCAACATAGATTTATTCAAATGAATGCAAGTATCATGAATCAGTCTGATGAACCATGAAAGAGGCTTCTCATCAATAGAGCTCATTGTAGAATTAAAGTGGAATAAGCAGAGGAGCAACATAGATTTATTCAAATGAATGCAAGTATCATGAATCAGTCTGATGAACCATGAAAGAGGCTTCTCATCAATAGAGCTCATTGTAGAATTAAGTGGAATAAGCAGAGGAGCAACATAGATTTATTCAAATGAATGCAAGTATCATGAATCAGTCTGATGAACCATGAAAGAGGCTTCTCATCAATAGAGCTCATTGTAGAATTAGAGTGGAATAAGCAGAGGAGCAACATAGATTTATTCAAATGAATGCAAGTATCATGAATCAGTCTGATGAACCATGAAAGAGGCTTCTCATCAATAGAGCTCATTGTAGAATTAGAGTGGAATAAGCAGAGGAGCAACATAGATTTATTCAAATGAATGCAAGTATCATGAATCAGTCTGATGAACCATGAAAGAGGCTTCTCATCAATAGAGCTCATTGTAGAATTAGAGTGGAATAAGCAGAGGAGCAACATAGATTTATTCAAATGAATGCAAGTATCATGAATCAGTCTGATGAACCATGAAAGGGAGGCTTCTCATCAATAGAGCTCATTGTAGAATTAGAGTGGAATAAGCAGAGGAGCAACATAGATTTATTCAAATGAATGCAAGTATCATGAATCAGTCTGATGAACCATGAAAGAGGCTTCTCATCAATAGAGCTCATTGTAGAATTAGAGTGGAATAAGCAGAGGAGCAACATAGATTTATTCAAATGAATGCAAGTATCATGAATCAGTCTGATGAACCATGATTTATTCAAAGAGGCTTCTCATCAATAGAGCTCATTGTAGAATTAGAGTGGAATAAGCAGAGGAGCAACATAGATTTATTCAAATGAATGCAAGTATCATGAATCAGTCTGATGAACCATGAAAGAGGCTTCTCATCAATAGAGCTCATTGTAGAATTAGAGTGGAATAAGCAGAGGAGCAACATAGATTTATTCAAATGAATGCAAGTATCATGAATCAGTCTGATGAACCATGAAAAGAGGCTTCTCATCAATAGAGCTCATTTTAGAGTGGAATTCAAATGATTTATTCAAAGTATCATGAATCAGTCTGATGAACCATGAAAGAGGCTTCTCATCAATAGAGCTCATTGTAGAATTAAAGTGGAATAAGCAGAGGAGCAACATAGATTTATTCAAATGAATGCAAGTATCATGAATCAGTCTGATGAACCATGAAAGAGGCTTCTCATCAATAGAGCTCATTGTAGAATTAAAGTGGAATAAGCAGAGGAGCAACATAGATTTATTCAAATGAATGCAAGTATCATGAATCAGTCTGATGAACCATGAAAGAGGCTTCTCATCAATAGAGCTCATTGTAGAATTAGAGTGGAATAAGCAGAGGAGCAACATAGATTTATTCAAATGAATGCAAGTATCATGAATCAGTCTGATGAACCATGAAAGAGGCTTCTCATCAATAGAGCTCATTGTAGAATTAAAGTGGAATAAGCAGAGGAGCAACATAGATTTATTCAAATGAATGCAAGTATCATGAATCAGTCTGATGAACCATGAAAGAGGCTTCTCATCAATAGAGCTCATTGTAGAAGGCTTCTCATCAATAGCAGCTCATTGTCTGATGAACCAGAATTAGCTCAGTGGAATAAGCAGAGGAGCAACATAGATTTATTCAAATGAATGCAAGTATCATGAATCAGTCTGATGAACCATGAAAAGGCTTCTCATCAATAGAGCTCATTGTAGAATTAGAGTGGAATAAGCAGAGGAGCAACATAGATTTATTCAAATGAATGCAAGTATCATGAATCAGTCTGATGAACCATGAAAGAGGCTTCTCATCAATAGAGCTCATTGTAGAATTAAAGTGGAATAAGCAGAGGAGCAACATAGATTTATTCAAATGAATGCAAGTATCATGAATCAGTCTGATGAACCATGAAGAGGCTTCTCATCAATAGAGCTCATTGTAGAATTAGAGTGGAATAAGCAGAGGAGCAACATAGATTTATTCAAATGAATGCAAGTATCATGAATCAGTCTGATGAACCATGAAAGAGGCTTCTCATCAATAGAGCTCATTGTAGAATTAGAGTGGAATAAGCAGAGGAGCAACATAGATTTATTCAAATGAATGCAAGTATCATGAATCAGTCTGATGAACCATGAAAGAGGCTTCTCATCAATAGAGCTCATTGTAGAATTAGAGTGGAATAAGCAGAGGAGCAACATAGATTTATTCAAATGAATGCAAGTATCATGAATCAGTCTGATGAACCATGAAAGAGGCTTCTCATCAATAGAGCTCATTGTAGAATTAGAGTGGAATAAGCAGAGGAGCAACATAGATTTATTCAAATGAATGCAAGTATCATGAATCAGTCTGATGAACCATGAAAGAGGCTTCTCATCAATAGAGCTCATTGTAGAATTAGAAGTGGAATAAGCAGAGGAGCAACATAGATTTATTCAAATGAATGCAAGTATCATGAATCAGTCTGATGAACCATGAAAGAGGCTTCTCATCAATAGAGCTCATTGTAGAATTAGAGTGGAATAAGCAGAGGAGCAACATAGATTTATTCAAATGAATGCAAGTATCATGAATCAGTCTGATGAACCATGAAAGAGGCTTCTCATCAATAGAGCTCATTGTAGAATTAGAGTGGAATAAGCAGAGGAGCAACATAGATTTATTCAAATGAATGCAAGTATCATGAATCAGTCTGATGAACCATGAAAGAGGCTTCTCATCAATAGAGCTCATTGTAGAATTAGAGTGGAATAAGCAGAGGAGCAACATAGATTTATTCAAATGAATGCAAGTATCATGAATCAGTCTGATGAACCATGAAAGAGGCTTCTCATCAATAGAGCTCATTGTAGAATTAGAGTGGAATAAGCAGAGGAGCAACATAGATTTATTCAAATGAATGCAAGTATCATGAATCAGTCTGATGAACCATGAAAGAGGCTTCTCATCAATAGAGCTCATTGTAGAATTAGAGTGGAATAAGCAGAGGAGCAACATAGATTTATTCAAATGAATGCAAGTATCATGAATCAGTCTGATGAACCATGAAAGAGGCTTCTCATCAATAGAGCTCATTGTAGAATTAGAGTGGAATAAGCAGAGGAGCAACATAGATTTATTCAAATGAATGCAAGTATCATGAATCAGTCTGATGAACCATGAACCATGAAAGAGGCTTCTCATCAATAGAGCTCATTGTAGAATTAAAGTGGAATAAGCAGAGGAGCAACATAGATTTATTCAAATGAATGCAAGTATCATGAATCAGTCTGATGAACCATGAAAGAGGCTTCTCATCAATAGAGCTCATTGTAGAATTTAGTGGAATAAGCAGAGGAGCAACATAGATTTATTCAAATGAATGCAAGTATCATGAATCAGTCTGATGAACCATGAAAGAGGCTTCTCATCAATAGATTTATTCAAATAAGTGGAATAAGCAGAGCAACAAGATTTATTCAAATGAATCATGAATCAGTCTGATGAACCATGAAAGAGGCTTCTCATCAATAGAGCTCATTGTAGAATTAGAGTGGAATAAGCAGAGGAGCAACATAGATTTATTCAAATGAATGCAAGTATCATGAATCAGTCTGATGAACCATGAAAGAGGCTTCTCATCAATAGAGCTCATTGTAGAATTAGAGTGGAATAAGCAGAGGAGCAACATAGATTTATTCAAATGAATGCAAGTATCATGAATCAGTCTGATGAACCATGAAAGAGGCTTCTCATCAATAGAGCTCATTGTAGAATTAGAGTGGAATAAGCAGAGGAGCAACATAGATTTATTCAAATGAATGCAAGTATCATGAATCAGTCTGATGAACCATGAAAGAGGCTTCTCATCAATAGAGCTCATTGTAGAATTAGAGTGGAATAAGCAGAGGAGCAACATAGATTTATTCAAATGAATGCAAGTATCATGAATCAGTCTGATGAACCATGAAAGAGGCTTCTCATCAATAGAGCTCATTGTAGAATTAGAGTGGAATAAGCAGAGGAGCAACATAGATTTATTCAAATGAATGCAAGTATCATGAATCAGTCTGATGAACCATGAAAGAGGCTTCTCATCAATAGAGCTCATTGTAGAATTAGAGTGGAATAAGCAGAGGAGCAACATAGATTTATTCAAATGAATGCAAGTATCATGAATCAGTCTGATGAACCATGAAAGAGGCTTCTCATCAATAGAGCTCATTGTAGAATTAAGTGGAATAAGCAGAGGAGCAACATAGATTTATTCAAATGAATGCAAGTATCATGAATCAGTCTGATGAACCATGAAAGAGGCTTCTCATCAATAGAGCTCATTGTAGAATTAGAATTTGGAATAAGCAGAGGAGCAACATAGATTTATTCAAATGAATGCAAGTATCATGAATCAGTCTGATGAACCATGAAAGAGGCTTCTCATCAATAGAGCTCATTGTAGAATTAGAGTGGAATAAGCAGAGGAGCAACATAGATTTATTCAAATGAATGCAAGTATCATGAATCAGTCTGATGAACCATGAAAGAGGCTTCTCATCAATAGAGCTCATTGTAGAATTAGAGTGGAATAAGCAGAGGAGCAACATAGATTTATTCAAATGAATGCAAGTATCATGAATCAGTCTGATGAACCATGAAAGAGGCTTCTCATCAATAGAGCTCATTGTAGAATTAGAGTGGAATAAGCAGAGGAGCAACATAGATTTATTCAAATGAATGCAAGTATCATGAATCAGTCTGATGAACCATGAAAGAGGCTTCTCATCAATAGAGCTCATTGTAGAATTAGAGTGGAATAAGCAGAGGAGCAACATAGATTTATTCAAATGAATGCAAGTATCATGAATCAGTCTGATGAACCATGAAAGAGGCTTCTCATCAATAGAGCTCATTGTAGAATTAGAGTGGAATAAGCAGAGGAGCAACATAGATTTATTCAAATGAATGCAAGTATCATGAATCAGTCTGATGAACCATGAAAGAGGCTTCTCATCAATAGAGCTCATTGTAGAATTAGAGTGGAATAAGCAGAGGAGCAACATAGATTTATTCAAATGAATGCAAGTATCATGAATCAGTCTGATGAACCATGAAAGAGGCTTCTCATCAATAGAGCTCATTGTAGAATTAGAGTGGAATAAGCAGAGGAGCAACATAGATTTATTCAAATGAATGCAAGTATCATGAATCAGTCTGATGAACCATGAAAGAGGCTTCTCATCAATAGAGCTCATTGTAGAATTGGAGTGGAATAAGCAGAGGAGCAACATAGATTTATTCAAATGAATGCAAGTATCATGAATCAGTCTGATGAACCATGAAAGAGGCTTCTCATCAATAGAGCTCATTGTAGAATTGGAGTGGAATAAGCAGAGGAGCAACATAGATTTATTCAAATGAATGCAAGTATCATGAATCAGTCTGATGAACCATGAAAGAGGCTTCTCATCAATAGAGCTCATTGTAGAATTGGAGTGGAATAAGCAGAGGAGCAACATAGATTTATTCAAATGAATGCAAGTATCATGAATCAGTCTGATGAACCATGAAAGAGGCTTCTCATCAATAGAGCTCATTGTAGAATTAGAGTGGAATAAGCAGAGGAGCAACATAGATTTATTCAAATGAATGCAAGTATCATGAATCAGTCTGATGAACCATGAAAGAGGCTTCTCATCTGATCAAGAATTGAGTGGAATAAAGAGGAGCAACATAGATTTATTCAAATGAATCAGTATCATGAATCAGTCTGATTGTAGAATTAGAGTGGAATAAGCAGAGGAGCAACATAGATTTATTCAAATGAATGCAAGTATCATGAATCAGTCTGATGAACCATGAAAAGAGGCTTCTCATCAATAGAGCTCATTGTAGAATTAGAGTGGAATAAGCAGAGGAGCAACATAGATTTATTCAAATGAATGCAAGTATCATGAATCAGTCTGATGAACCATGAAAGAGGCTTCTCATCAATAGAGCTCATTGTAGAATTAGAGTGGAATAAGCAGAGGAGCAACATAGATTTATTCAAATGAATGCAAGTATCATGAATCAGTCTGATGAACCATGAAAGAGGCTTCTCATCAATAGAGCTCATTGTAGAATTAGAGTGGAATAAGCAGAGGAGCAACATAGATTTATTCAAATGAATGCAAGTATCATGAATCAGTCTGATGAACCATGAAAGAGGCTTCTCATCAATAGAGCTCATTGTAGAATTAGAGTGGAATAAGCAGAGGAGCAACATAGATTTATTCAAATGAATGCAAGTATCATGAATCAGTCTGATGAACCATGAAAGAGGCTTCTCATCAATAGAGCTCATTGTAGAATTAGAGTGGAATAAGCAGAGGAGCAACATAGATTTATTCAAATGAATGCAAGTATCATGAATCAGTCTGATGAACCATGAAAGAGGCTTCTCATCAATAGAGCTCATTGTAGAATTAGAGTGGAATAAGCAGAGGAGCAACATAGATTTATTCAAATGAATGCAAGTATCATGAATCAGTCTGATGAACCATGAAAAGAGGCTTCTCATCAATAGAGCTCATTGTAGAATTAGAGTGGAATAAGCAGAGGAGCAACATAGATTTATTCAAATGAATGCAAGTATCATGAATCAGTCTGATGAACCATGAAAGAGGCTTCTCATCAATAGAGCTCATTGTAGAATTAGAGTGGAATAAGCAGAGGAGCAACATAGATTTATTCAAATGAATGCAAGTATCATGAATCAGTCTGATGAACCATGAAAGAGGCTTCTCATCAATAGAGCTCATTGTAGAATTAGAGTGGAATAAGCAGAGGAGCAATAGATTTATTCAAATGAATTTCATGAATCAAATGAATGAAAGCTTCTCATCAAAGTATCATGAATCAGTCAGATGAACCAAATGTATCATGAATCAGTCTGATGAAAGAGGCTTCTCATCAATAGAGCTCATTGTAGAATTAGAGTGGAATAAGCAGAGGAGCAACATAGATTTATTCAAATGAATGCAAGTATCATGAATCAGTCTGATGAACCATGAAAGAGGCTTCTCATCAATAGAGCTCATTGTAGAATTAGAGTGGAATAAGCAGAGGAGCAACATAGATTTATTCAAATGAATGCAAGTATCATGAATCAGTCTGATGAACCATGAAAGAGGCTTCTCATCAATAGAGCTCATTGTAGAATTAGAGTGGAATAAGCAGAGGAGCAACATAGATTTATTCAAATGAATGCAAGTATCATGAATCAGTCTGATGAACCATGAAAGAGGCTTCTCATCAATAGAGCTCATTGTAGAATTAGAGTGGAATAAGCAGAGGAGCAACATAGATTTATTCAAATGAATGCAAGTATCATGAATCAGTCTGATGAACCATGAAAGAGGCTTCTCATCAATAGAGCTCATTGTAGAATTAGAGTGGAATAAGCAGAGGAGCAACATAGATTTATTCAAATGAATGCAAGTATCATGAATCAGTCTGATGAACCATGAAAGAGGCTTCTCATCAATAGAGCTCATTGTAGAATTAGAGTGGAATAAGCAGAGGAGCAACATAGATTTATTCAAATGAATGCAAGTATCATGAATCAGTCTGATGAACCATGAAAGAGGCTTCTCATCAATAGAGCTCATTGTAGAATTAGAGTGGAATAAGCAGAGGAGCAACATAGATTTATTCAAATGAATGCAAGTATCATGAATCAGTCTGATGAACCATGAAAGAGGCTTCTCATCAATAGAGCTCATTGTAGAATTAGAGTGGAATAAGCAGAGGAGCAACATAGATTTATTCAAATGAATGCAAGTATCATGAATCAGTCTGATGAACCATGAAAGAGGCTTCTCATCAATAGAGCTCATTGTAGAATTAGAGTGGAATAAGCAGAGGAGCAACAACATAGATTTATTCAAATGAATGCAAGTATCATGAATCAGTCTGATGAACCATGAAAGAGGCTTCTCATCAATAGAGCTCATTGTAGAATTAAGTGGAATAAGCAGAGGAGCAACATAGATTTATTCAAATGTATCATGAATCAGTCTGATGAACCATGAAAGAGGCTTCTGGAATCAAGAATTAGAGTGGAATAAGCAGAGGAGCAACATAGATTTATTCAAATGAATGCAAGTATCATGAATCAGTCTGATGAACCATGAAAGAGGCTTCTCATCAATAGAGCTCATTGTAGAATTAGAGTGGAATAAGCAGAGAGAGCAACATAGATTTATTCAAATGAATGCAAGTATCATGAATCAGTCTGATGAACCATGAAAGAGGCTTCTCATCAATAGAGCTCATTGTAGAATTAGAGTGGAATAAGCAGAGGAGCAACATAGATTTATTCAAATGAATGCAAGTATCATGAATCAGTCTGATGAACCATGAAAGAGGCTTCTCATCAATAGAGCTCATTGTAGAATTAGAGTGGAATAAGCAGAGGAGCAACATAGATTTATTCAAATGAATGCAAGTATCATGAATCAGTCTGATGAACCATGAAAGAGGCTTCTCATCAATAGAGCTCATTGTAGAATTAGAGTGGAATAAGCAGAGGAGCAACATAGATTTATTCAAATGAATGCAAGTATCATGAATCAGTCTGATGAACCATGAAAGAGGCTTCTCATCAATAGAGCTCATTGTAGAATTAGAGTGGAATAAGCAGAGGAGCAACATAGATTTATTCAAATGAATGCAAGTATCATGAATCAGTCTGATGAACCATGAAAGAGGCTTCTCATCAATAGAGCTCATTGTAGAATTAGAGTGGAATAAGCAGAGGAGCAACATAGATTTATTCAAATGAAGTATTTATTCAAATGAATGCAAGTATCATGAATCAGTCTGATGAACCATGAAAGAGGCTTCTCATCAATAGAGCTCATTGTAGAATTAGAGTGGAATAAGCAGAGGAGCAACATAGATTTATTCAAATGAATGCAAGTATCATGAATCAGTCTGATGAACCATGAAAGAGGCTTCTCATCAATAGAGCTCATTGTAGAATTAGAGTGGAATAAGCAGAGGAGCAACATAGATTTATTCAAATGAATGCAAGTATCATGAATCAGTCTGATGAACCATGAAAGAGGCTTCTCATCAATAGAGCTCATTGTAGAATTAGAGTGGAATAAGCAGAGGAGCAACATAGATTTATTCAAATGAATGCAAGTATCATGAATCAGTCTGATGAACCATGAAAGAGGCTTCTCATCAATAGAGCTCATTGTAGAATTAGAGTGGAATAAGCAGAGGAGCAACATAGATTTATTCAAATGAATGCAAGTATCATGAATCAGTCTGATGAACCATGAAAAGAGGCTTCTCATCAATAGAGCTCATTGTAGAATTAGAGTGGAATAAGCAGAGGAGCAACATAGATTTATTCAAATGAATGCAAGTATCATGAATCAGTCTGATGAACCATGAAAGAGGCTTCTCATCAATAGAGCTCATTGTAGAATTAGAGTGGAATAAGCAGAGGAGCAACATAGATTTATTCAAATGAATGCAAGTATCATGAATCAGTCTGATGAACCATGAAAGAGGCTTCTCATCAATAGAGCTCATTGTAGAATTAGAGTGGAATAAGCAGAGGAGCAACATAGATTTATTCAAATGAATGCAAGTATCATGAATCAGTCTGATGAACCATGAAAGAGGCTTCTCATCAATAGAGCTCATTGTAGAATTAGAGTGGAATAAGCAGAGGAGCAACATAGATTTATTCAAATGAATGCAAGTATCATGAATCAGTCTGATGAACCATGAAAGAGGCTTCTCATCAATAGAGCTCATTGTAGAATTAGAGTGGAATAAGCAGAGGAGCAACATAGATTTATTCAAATGAATGCAAGTATCATGAATCAGTCTGATGAACCATGAAAGAGGCTTCTCATCAATAGAGCTCATTGTAGAATTAGAGTGGAATAAGCAGAGGAGCAACATAGATTTATTCAAATGAATGCAAGTATCATGAATCAGTCTGATGAACCATGAAAGAGGCTTCTCATCAATAGAGCTCATTGTAGAATTAGAGTGGAATAAGCAGAGGAGCAACATAGATTTATTCAAATGAATGCAAGTATCATGAATCAGTCTGATGAACCATGAAAGAGGCTTCTCATCAATAGAGCTCATTGTAGAATTAGAGTGGAATAAGCAGAGGAGCAACATAGATTTATTCAAATGAATGCAAGTATCATGAATCAGTCTGATGAACCATGAAAGAGGCTTCTCATCAATAGAGCTCATTGCAGAATTAGAGTGGAATAAGCAGAGGAGCAACATAGATTTATTCAAATGAATGCAAGTATCATGAATCAGTCTGATGAACCATGAAAGAGGCTTCTCATCAATAGAGCTCATTGTAGAATTAGAGTGGAATAAGCAGAGGAGCAACATAGATTTATTCAAATGAATGCAAGTATCATGAATCAGTCTGATGAACCATGAAAGAGGCTTCTCATCAATAGAGCTCATTGTAGAATTAGAGTGGAATAAGCAGAGGAGCAACATAGATTTATTCAAATGAATGCAAGTATCATGAATCAGTCTGATGAACCATGAAAGAGGCTTCTCATCAATAGAGCTCATTGTAGAATTAGAGTGGAATAAGCAGAGGAGCAACATAGATTTATTCAAATGAATGCAAGTATCATGAATCAGTCTGATGAACCATGAAGAGGCTTCTCATCAATAGAGCTCATTGTAGAATTAAGTGGAATAAGCAGAGGAGCAACATAGATTTATTCAAATGAATGCAAGTATCATGAATCAGTCTGATGAACCATGAAAGAGGCTTCTCATCAATAGAGCTCATTGTAGAATTAGAGTGGAATAAGCAGAGGAGCAACATAGATTTATTCAAATGAATGCAAGTATCATGAATCAGTCTGATGAACCATGAAAGAGGCTTCTCATCAATAGAGCTCATTGCAGAATTAGAGTGGAATAAGCAGAGGAGCAACATAGATTTATTCAAATGAATGCAAGTATCATGAATCAGTCTGATGAACCATGAAAGAGGCTTCTCATCAATAGAGCTCATTGTAGAATTAAAAGTGGAATAAGCAGAGGAGCAACATAGATTTATTCAAATGAATGCAAGTATCATGAATCAGTCTGATGAACCATGAAAGAGGCTTCTCATCAATCAGAGCTCATTGCAGAATTAGAGTGGAATAAGCAGAGGAGCAACATAGATTTATTCAAATGAATGCAAGTATCATGAATCAGTCTGATGAACCATGAAAGAGGCTTCTCATCAATAGAGCTCATTGTAGAATTAGAGTGGAATAAGCAGAGGAGCAACATAGATTTATTCAAATGAATGCAAGTATCATGAATCAGTCTGATGAACCATGAAAGAGGCTTCTCATCAATAGAGCTCATTGTAGAATTAGAGTGGAATAAGCAGAGGAGCAACATAGATTTATTCAAATGAATGCAAGTATCATGAATCAGTCTGATGAACCATGAAAGAGGCTTCTCATCAATAGAGCTCATTGTAGAATTAGAGTGGAATAAGCAGAGGAGCAACATAGATTTATTCAAATGAATGCAAGTATCATGAATCAGTCTGATGAACCATGAAAGAGGCTTCTCATCAATAGAGCTCATTGCAGAATTAGAGTGGAATAAGCAGAGGAGCAACATAGATTTATTCAAATGAATGCAAGTATCATGAATCAGTCTGATGAACCATGAAAGAGGCTTCTCATCAATAGAGCTCATTGTAGAATTAGAGTGGAATAAGCAGAGGAGCAACATAGATTTATTCAAATGAATGCAAGTATCATGAATCAGTCTGATGAACCATGAAAGAGGCTTCTCATCAATAGAGCTCATTGCAGAATTAGAGTGGAATAAGCAGAGGAGCAAACATAGATTTATTCAAATGAATGCAAGTATCATGAATCAGTCTGATGAACCATGAAAGAGGCTTCTCATCAATAGAGCTCATTGTAGAATTAGAGTGGAATAAGCAGAGGAGCAACATAGATTTATTCAAATGAATGCAAGTATCATGAATCAGTCTGATGAACCATGAAAGAGGCTTCTCATCAATAGAGCTCATTGTAGAATTAGAGTGGAATAAGCAGAGGAGCAACATAGATTTATTCAAATGAATGCAAGTATCATGAATCAGTCTGATGAACCATGAAAGAGGCTTCTCATCAATAGAGCTCATTGTAGAATTAGAGTGGAATAAGCAGAGGAGCAACATAGATTTATTCAAATGAATGCAAGTATCATGAATCAGTCTGATGAACCATGAAAGAGGCTTCTCATCAATAGAGCTCATTGTAGAATTAGAGTGGAATAAGCAGAGGAGCAACATAGATTTATTCAAATGAATGCAAGTATCATGAATCAGTCTGATGAACCATGAAAGAGGCTTCTCATCAATAGAGCTCATTGTAGAATTAGAGTGGAATAAGCAGAGGAGCAACATAGATTTATTCAAATGAATGCAAGTATCATGAATCAGTCTGATGAACCATGAAAGAGGCTTCTCATCAATAGAGCTCATTGTAGAATTAGAGTGGAATAAGCAGAGAGAGCAACATAGATTTATTCAAATGAATGCAAGTATCATGAATCAGTCTGATGAACCATGAAAGAGGCTTCTCATCAATAGAGCTCATTGCAGAATTAGAGTGGAATAAGCAGAGGAGCAACATAGATTTATTCAAATGAATGCAAGTATCATGAATCAGTCTGATGAACCATGAAAGAGGCTTCTCATCAATAGAGCTCATTGTAGAATTAGAGTGGAATAAGCAGAGGAGCAACATAGATTTATTCAAATGAATGCAAGTATCATGAATCAGTCTGATGAACCATGAAAGAGGCTTCTCATCAATAGAGCTCATTGTAGAATTAGAGTGGAATAAGCAGAGGAGCAACATAGATTTATTCAAATGAATGCAAGTATCATGAATCAGTCTGATGAACCATGAAAGAGGCTTCTCATCAATAGAGCTCATTGTAGAATTAGAGTGGAATAAGCAGAGGAGCAACATAGATTTATTCAAATGAATGCAAGTATCATGAATCAGTCTGATGAACCATGAAAGAGGCTTCTCATCAATAGAGCTCATTGCAGAATTAGAGTGGAATAAGCAGAGGAGCAACATAGATTTATTCAAATGAATGCAAGTATCATGAATCAGTCTGATGAACCATGAAAGAGGCTTCTCATCAATAGAGCTCATTGTAGAATTAGAGTGGAATAAGCAGAGGAGCAACATAGATTTATTCAAATGAATGCAAGTATCATGAATCAGTCTGATGAACCATGAAAGAGGCTTCTCATCAATAGAGCTCATTGTAGAATTAGAGTGGAATAAGCAGAGGAGCAACATAGATTTATTCAAATGAATGCAAGTATCATGAATCAGTCTGATGAACCATGAAAGAGGCTTCTCATCAATAGAGCTCATTGTAGAATTAGAGTGGAATAAGCAGAGGAGCAACATAGATTTATTCAAATGAATGCAAGTATCATGAATCAGTCTGATGAACCATGAAAGAGGCTTCTCATCAATAGAGCTCATTGTAGAATTAGAGTGGAATAAGCAGAGAGCAACATAGATTTATTCAAATGAATGCAAGTATCATGAATCAGTCTGATGAACCATGAAAGAGGCTTCTCATCAATAGAGCTCATTGTAGAATTAGAGTGGAATAAGCAGAGGAGCAACATAGATTTATTCAAATGAATGCAAGTATCATGAATCAGTCTGATGAACCATGAAAGAGGCTTCTCATCAATAGAGCTCATTGCAGAATTAGAGTGGAATAAGCAGAGGAGCAACATAGATTTATTCAAATGAATGCAAGTATCATGAATCAGTCTGATGAACCATGAAAGAGGCTTCTCATCAATAGAGCTCATTGCAGAATTAGAGTGGAATAAGCAGAGGAGCAACATAGATTTATTCAAATGAATGCAAGTATCATGAATCAGTCTGATGAACCATGAAAGAGGCTTCTCATCAATAGAGCTCATTGTAGAATTAGAGTGGAATAAGCAGAGGAGCAACATAGATTTATTCAAATGAATGCAAGTATCATGAATCAGTCTGATGAACCATGAAAGAGGCTTCTCATCAATAGAGCTCATTGCAGAATTAGAGTGGAATAAGCAGAGGAGCAACATAGATTTATTCAAATGAATACAAGTATCATGAATCAGTCTGATGAACCATGAAAGAGGCTTCTCATCAATAGAGCTCATTGCAGAATTAGAGTGGAATAAGCAGAGGAGCAACATAGATTTATTCAAATGAATGCAAGTATCATGAATCAGTCTGATGAACCATGAAAGAGGCTTCTCATCAATAGAGCTCATTGCAGAATTAGAGTGGAATAAGCAGAGGAGCAACATAGATTTATTCAAATGAATGCAAGTATCATGAATCAGTCTGATGAACCATGAAAGAGGCTTCTCATCAATAGAGCTCATTGCAGAATTAGAGTGGAATAAGCAGAGGAGCAACATAGATTTATTCAAATGAATGCAAGTATCATGAATCAGTCTGATGAACCATGAAAGAGCTTCTCATCAATAGAGCTCATTGTAGAATTAGAGTGGAATAAGCAGAGGAGCAACATAGATTTATTCAAATGAATGCAAGTATCATGAATCAGTCTGATGAACCATGAAAGAGGCTTCTCATCAATAGAGCTCATTGTAGAATTAGAGTGGAATAAGCAGAGGAGCAACATAGATTTATTCAAATGAATGCAAGTATCATGAATCAGTCTGATGAACCATGAAAGAGGCTTCTCATCAATAGAGCTCATTGTAGAATTAGAGTGGAATAAGCAGAGGAGCAACATAGATTTATTCAAATGAATGCAAGTATCATGAATCAGTCTGATGAACCATGAAAGAGGCTTCTCATCAATAGAGCTCATTGCAGAATTAGAGTGGAATAAGCAGAGGAGCAACATAGATTTATTCAAATGAATGCAAGTATCATGAATCAGTCTGATGAACCATGAAAGAGGCTTCTCATCAATAGAGCTCATTGTAGAATTAGAGTGGAATAAGCAGAGGAGCAACATAGATTTATTCAAATGAATGCAAGTATCATGAATCAGTCTGATGAACCATGAAAGAGGCTTCTCATCAATAGAGCTCATTGCAGAATTAAATTGGAATAAGCAGAGGAGCAACATAGATTTATTCAAATGAATGCAAGTATCATGAATCAGTCTGATGAACCATGAAAGAGGAATCAATAGAGCTCACAGAATTAGAGTGAATAAGCAGAGGAGCAACATAGATTTATTCAAATGAATGCAAGTATCATGAATCAGTCTGATGAACCATGAAAGAGGCTTCTCATCAATAGAGCTCATTGTAGAATTAGAGTGGAATAAGCAGAGGAGCAACATAGATTTATTCAAATGAATGCAAGTATCATGAATCAGTCTGATGAACCATGAAAGAGGCTTCTCATCAATAGAGCTCATTGTAGAATTAGAGTGGAATAAGCAGAGAGGAGCAACATAGATTTATTCAAATGAATGCAAGTATCATGAATCAGTCTGATGAACCATGAAAGAGGCTTCTCATCAATAGAGCTCATTGTAGAATTAGAGTGGAATAAGCAGAGGAGCAACATAGATTTATTCAAATGAATGCAAGTATCATGAATCAGTCTGATGAACCATGAAAGAGGCTTCTCATCAATAGAGCTCATTGTAGAATTAGAGTGGAATAAGCAGAGGAGCAACATAGATTTATTCAAATGAATGCAAGTATCATGAATCAGTCTGATGAACCATGAAAGAGGCTTCTCATCAATAGAGCTCATTGTAGAATTAGAGTGGAATAAGCAGAGGAGGAACATAGATTTATTCAAATGAATGCAAGTATCATGAATCAGTCTGATGAACCATGAAAGAGGCTTCTCATCAATAGAGCTCATTGTAGAATTAGAGTGGAATAAGCAGAGGAGCAACATAGATTTATTCAAATGAATGCAAGTATCATGAATCAGTCTGATGAACCATGAAAGAGGCTTCTCATCAATAGAGCTCATTGTAGAATTAGAGTGGAATAAGCAGAGGAGCAACATAGATTTATTCAAATGAATGCAAGTATCATGAATCAGTCTGATGAACCATGAAAGAGGCTTCTCATCAATAGAGCTCATTGTAGAATTAGAGTGGAATAAGCAGAGGAGCAACATAGATTTATTCAAATGAATGCAAGTATCATGAATCAGTCTGATGAACCATGAAAGAGGCTTCTCATCAATAGAGCTCATTGTAGAATTAGAGTGGAATAAGCAGAGGTGGAACATAGATTTATTCAAATGAATGCAAGTATCATGAATCAGTCTGATGAACCATGAAAGAGGCTTTTCATCAATAGAGCCCATTGTAGAATTAGAGTGGAATAAGCAGAGGAGCAACATAGATTTATTCAAATGAATGCAAGTATCATGAATCAGTCTGATGAACCATGAAAGAGGCTTCTCATCAATAGAGCTCATTGTAGAATTAGAGTGGAATAAGCAGAGAGCAACATAGATTTATTCAAATGAATGCAAGTATCATGAATCAGTCTGATGAACCATGAAAGATTTTCTCATCAATAGAGCTCATTGTAGAATTAGATGGAATAAGCAGAGGAGCAACATAGATTTATTCAAATGAATGCAAGTATCATGAATCAGTCTGATGAACCATGAAAGAGGCTTTCATCAATAGAGCTCATTGTAGAATTAGAGTGGAATAAGCAGAGGAGCAACATAGATTTATTCAAATGAATGCAAATCATGAATCAGTCTGATGAAATGAAAGAGGCTTCTCATCAATAGATTTCATTAGAAAAAGATGGAAATAAGCAGGAAAGCAACATTGATTTATTCAAATGAATGCAAGTATGATGAAAGTTTGATGAAAGAGGCTTCTCATCAATAGAGCCCATTGTAGAATTTTGGGAATAAGCAGAGGAGCAACATAGATTTATTCAAATGGTTATCATGAATCAATCTGATGAACCAAGAAAAAGGCTTTTCATCAATAGTTTTCATTGTAGAAAGTGGAATAAGCAGAGGAGCAACATAGATTTATTCAAATGAATGCAAGTATCATGAATCAGTCTGATGAACCATGAAAGAGGCTTCTCATCAAAGAGCTCTTTTGTAGAATTAGAGTGGAAAGAGCAACATTGATTTATTCAAATGAATGCAATATCATGAAAGTCTGATGAACCATGAAAAGTTATCAATAGAGCTCATTGTAGAACCTGGAGATTTATTCAAATTGCAAGTAAATGAATCAAAAAACCATGAAAGGTAAATGTTTTTGACCATGTTCAGAGGAATAAGTTGAGAGAACATTGATTTATTCACATGAGAGAAGCATGAATCAGGAACATTACTTCAGGGAAGCTTTGCAGACAATAGAGCTCAGGTTGAAATTGTTCCAATGGTGAAATAGATGATTTAGAAAATGAAATTTTGTTTATAATAAATTTGTCATCAACCAGGATGGAAAAAGATCAATCACTATCCACTAGTAATGATAGAAGATTTATTAGGCGGCAAAACAGTCATCACGTAACCTTGAGATCCAAGGGGACCAATCCAGCAATTACATTGCTATCAACCAACACCACTGAGAGAGAAGACCTGTCAGAAATGATTCTCAATATTATTTATGATTATAATGTTTATTGACATCATTTGGTTTCAATTAAATTTTCATTTAATATAAAATTGATAAAAATATTATATTGTACAGTGAGGGTAAAAATATATATTTCATTAAAGGATTGTGGGGGGCGCCGAGTTTTGAAAAAAAACAAAGCTAGTGTTAGTGGCGCTGAAGAATTGTCATGCATTATTAAACAGTTTTTGCAACAAAAAAAAAAAAAAATTGTCAGGATTTTAAAATAAAAGGAAAACAGGATGCAAAAAAAGAAAAATCTTGATTAACACCGTTTATTTATTTTTTTGGCTTCAGTTTGCGTAATCATTCAATACCACTCAAAAGACCTGTCAGAAATGATTTCAATATTATTTTGATTTAATGTTTATTGACATCATTTTTTTAAATTTTTTCCATCTTAAAATTTAAAAAATTTATTTTTGAGGGTAAAAAAATTTATTTCGGATTGTGGGGGGCGCTTCGACATTGAAGAAATTATAAATGCAAAAAAAAAACTGAATGAAAAATAAAAAAATTGGTTTATTTGTTCGAAAATCCCAACAAAATCCAGTTATTTCTTGTTTGTTTTTTCTTTTTTCGTTCTTATTTAATTTTTCTGATCGGAAATTATACGAACTGAATGAAGAATAAAATAATTGGTTTTTTTGAAAAAAACAAAAAATCTTTGTTTTTCTCGTTATTTATATTTATCTTGGAAAGGCTGGAAGAATCATCATTTTTGATAAAAAAAGAAATCGTTTTTTATTTTTTTTTTTTTTTTTATTTTATTTTGTAAATTTATAATATTTTTTGTCCTTAATGTTATTAAAATGAAAATGAATTAAGCTATGATTTCATTTTGAAGAAATGATATTTTTTTTAATTTTTTAACGTTTAAAAAATAGTAAACCGTACTAAAATAATTTTTTATTTTATTTCTCTCTTTCAATCACAGTTGGGTAACATAAAAGTTACTTTATTTTACGTCTGGTTTTTTGGGGGGTTTTTTGCCACTACTTACTTTTTTTATGAAATTTCGAGTAATTTAAATTTCAGGCTCTTCGTATTTTTACCTCCACGAAATTGTTGAAAAAAATCAGCATACCGCGATGATGAAAACATGCTTCAAAAACATAATGAAAACAGTTTTATCTTTAAAATCTTTGTTAAGAGGGAAAATCGAAGTATATTTGGAATATTTAATTAATTTTTTTTCTACTTCTTTTAAGAACATTTGAAATTTTGATTAAAAAATCTTATTTTTCTTGCGTCAACGGATGCGCTATATATTTTTTTTTTTTTTTTTTTTGCATAGCAATATTTTCAGCAAATCATTGTCGGATTTTAATGAAATTTTCAGGACTGAATTAAATTATTTTAGAATTTAGATATGTTTATATTACAAAAATCTTGGTACATTTCTTTTTTTTACATTTTTAAGAAAACTTGAGAAAATCAACGTGATAAACTTTTAGTGACTACTTAAATAAAAGGAGAATTTATGGCAAAATCGGGCCCCATCTTACAGAAAAACTGCTCTGAATTGAAAAGAAATTAATAAATTGTATATTATTTTTTTTATGCTATAATATTTATTTCAAATCAGTTTATTTTAAATTTTCTAATTTTACTAAAATAACGCGTCAGAAATATATATATTATCTTTTGGAAGAGTTTTAAAATCGATAAATTTGTTTTGTTTTTACGAATTTCTTAAAATTAAGAAAATGGCCGCTTTTAAGAAATCGAAATTAAAATTGACATTCCAATCTATAATTTCTATCTGAAATATACCAGAATATTTTACTTACTGGAAATAATAAATTTAATCTTTTAGCTTTCAATGAAATCTTCAAGAATGATTTTCATGATTAAAAATTAATTTTACCTTAGGTATGGAAAATTTATGCCGAAAACGTGGCGGTACCTGTGATTGGTCCTATTTGTTTGAGGCGATGGATGATTGAGTGATGAAGCGGTAACAGCTATTATGGCTGATCAGAATTGACATAAATTTACAAAATCTAAGTGAACGCATTTTGTGGGGGGGGGGGTAAATACAAATGAACATATTTTCCGCAATTATCTAATAATGTATTGACTTTTATTTACCTTTCGAAGATGCTTTATGCAAAAATTAAAAAAATTTAAAATACTATAAAATTTGCTTAAATTGATTTCTCTGTAAAGAGACAAAATTCTTGATCACGTGACCTTTTCTTGATAATATCACGTTTAGCTTTTCATAGATAAAAAGGGAACAAATTAAATAAAAAAAAAAAAAATTATTTTAAAAATAGTAAGTACATTTATTGATCTTACCAATTTTGGATTCGTAAATTTCGTTTCCACTTAATTACTATAGCACATCCAGGAAATAGCCTAATACAAAATTTTACACGACCTAGGTCTGTCCCTTTTGTCACCCAAAAACGCATAGCATGAAGAAAAAAGCCCCCCAAACTTAATAAAAACAAAATTTTATTGTGAAAAAGTTTATTATTAAGATTAAAGACCAAGGTATTTTTCAATTACTTTTTTTTTTAAATTTTTTCATTTGCAGCATGTTTTAAATTTAGGTTGAAAATCTTGTTTTTTTTTTTTTTTTTTTTGTTTTTTTAGGTCAAAAATTAGGTAATAATTAGCATTTCTTGTTTTTTCACTGTTTTCAATAGAAAAAACACATTGATTTGGAAAAAGAAAAGTACTTGTTGGATTTTAATGAAACCTTCAGAACTTATTCACAAATGAATTAAATTATTTTAGAAATGTTTGTCTCTTTGAAAGTCATGGTATAGATATTTTTTTTTATATATATGTTACACTCCTCGAATTTAATTTTATGAAAACTTCAAAAATTTATTTTTGCAACCTGAATTTTTTTTTTCAATTAAATGCACAAAACTCTGAAGACTCTAAATCATCGATTTTTTTTTTTTTTTTTTTTTATTTGGTAAAAAAATGTGCAAAATTATACAAACTTTTACCTCAATTGTAAAAATACAAAACCCAATAAAACTAAGACAATATTTAATTAAAAAAGCTTTTTATGACTTTTCTGAATAACATATACTAAGGTAATTTTTATCTGAAAGAAAAAAAAAATTTTTGATGAAAAATGAATTTTTACAATAATTTTTTCTTTTTTCTATTTTAAATACACAATATGACAAAATGTTATATATTTTAAAATTAAGTTTCTTTATGCAACCTTATGGAAATGACATTATGTTCTCTACTTTTTAAAGATCATAAATTTGAAAGCTCATTAAAATTTGACAACCGTTGATATTTTAAAAATAATTTTTTAATATTCCAAAATTGTATTTAAAATCATCTCCAACGAAAGTATGGTTGCACAGCTTTGAAATAATGTCACATGAGGTAGACTTGTTTCTCTTGATAGAAGCAAGTTCTTTTACTTCAGAAATTGCTTTGCATTCGTTCAGTTAACAACACAGCAAAGTTTGAAATCGATTGCATAGCATTTCAATGTTAATTTTATTAATAAATAAAATATGTATAAAACTCCCATGACTGCCATATCACAAGTATTAATAAATAGTAAAAAAAAAAGTCTGCCTTAATAAAAAAGAAATAAAATCTCATTTCATTAAGTTAACCTGTTTCAATTATGAAATTTAATGGTGTTTCATGTAATTTTATATTCTCAGAAAAATATTTCATGACAAATAATACAACTCAATTTAAAAAAAAATGTTGTTACTGTTTTATTTTTTACTTGTAAAATTTGATTTTTTTCATAATTTAAATGTTATTTTCAGTGTGAAAATTTTTCCTCAAACGTAAGGTTAAAAAAAAAAAATTTGAAAGTGAA